CTCTCTCTCTCTCTCTCTCTCTCTCTCTCTCTCTCTCTCTCTCACACACACACACACACACACACACACACACACACACACACACACACACGAACGATTCATTAGGTCTTGATTCGGTACTAGGCTATAGGCTGTCGTTCCTAGGCTGTAGGTTGTCGAGTCATCGAAACAGCAGCCTACAAAAGTGTCAAGGGCAAGGAAAAATGAGTTTTGTCACGTCATTTTTTTTCCACAAAGCGCCGCTGGAGGTCGCATGCTGTTTGGGTGCTGCATTATTTCACTTGCGCCATCATCTTTATAGTGCTAGAGTCGTCCTCCATAGCTGGGGTTTCCTGGCTCGTGTTGTGACTGAGTTGGGCATCAGGTCCTGAGCGCTGTGAGGCGCCTCCTCTTACCTATGTTGTTGGGGATAGGCAGGGTCGCCATGGAAACCCTTCTTGCAAGTGTTTGTCAAAGTGGCAGTCATCTCCTTCTTCATCAAGCGCTGGTGTTCTTCTTCTTCGTCCTACGAGCTACCCTTCCCTGTTGAGCGGACAATTCATCTGCAGTGGGCATCGAGTATGGACTGCTGAGTGGTGTGTCGGGTTCAGGAGGGTTGGTGGCGCTCAATGTGCTTGATAGGTTGGGCGCAGGCCTGCGCCATAGCTGTGAGCTTGAGGTTGGGAGGACGAAGAAGTCTCCCTTACTTGTTGAAACTTTCTTCTTAGTTGGTTCGTGGATGTTAATAACGTGGTTGGGATTATTGGAAATAACAGTGCACTGATTGGCTGCAGGAGGCTTTCAATTCTATTTTTGGTTTAAGTGCTTCCACTGTGTATTCTCTCATCCGGTGTGGTGTGAATTGCTCTCTCCAAGATCTCTTGTTGTTGTGCATGTGTATGGGAACATGTGGATGCCATGCTGTATCTCGTTTCAATCAGGCACATAACATATACGTAGAGTAGGCTAGCGTAGGCTAAGTAGACTAGGCTGGGCGCTGTGCGTCAATCAGTGAAGAGCGACATTGGATACTATGTTGGTGTGGCGAGAGAGTGTCGACATGGACATTTGAGTTCATTGTATTGCTCTTATTTGGCTTATATTTCGGTGCATTTTGCTTTCTGCTTGGTACACAACTATCTCATCTACAGTGTGATACTGCAATCTGGTTTTCTCCTTATCGCTCTTGCTCATTTTCCTTGGACAGTACATGAAAAAGAAAAAAAAAAAGCATGGGCAGATATGGGCGAGTATGGCTGAACAAAGTCTGGTTGGGTGGGGTATGAGTGCGTCAAGTGGACAAAAAATAGAAAATGACCACTTCTCTTTCAGACTTGTGGAATGGGATATTTTAATCCGCAGATCTGGAAGGCTCGGGGGAAGGTTAGCTCATCCAGAGAAGTGCGCCGGAGCAATTCACACGTTGATTTTCAACTGTGACGTTTAGCAGCGCAACAAGAAGGAGATCTGGGGCACAGCCACACCCAATGAGATATTACTGTACGGCGGCTACGGCCAGTATTTTTTTTATCCGATTCTTGCACAGTGCCAAGGGTAACAGCTACTAACAGGGTGCCCAGTTTCAACTAAGTTTTTCTTAATTTCATCAACTATTCTGACCTGGATGTTCAATGGCCATTTATTGTGGAGTTTCGAATCAAGTCTGTGCGAGTGTGAATTTGCCAAAATTTCATTACTTTGGCATATGTGAGGATTAAGCCCTCAAGAAGGGGCCTTGCCATGATGTACATGTTCTGGGCTAAGGCCCCAGCAAGCCTAGTGCCCGCCCTAAGTGAAGGCGGGCCAGTAAATCAACAAGAGCCCTCTGTGCAAACATTTCACGAAGTGGGGTCCATACAGTTGCGGCAAGCCAGTTGGTTGGTGTGCACCAAGTATCGGAGCTCTGCAAATGCAGAAATCCCAGGGCCCCGAGTTGGTTAGGCCCTGGGCACATAAACGTGAGGCCGACAATGCATGCTGGATATAGAGGCCGAAAATGCCAAAGGGAAACCGGTCCACTATCTGAATCTGGCCGCAGGCCTTGACGAAAGAGGCTCAACTGCATCTCCTGGGCCCCCAACTGCATCGGCCTGGGTACAGGCACTGGGGCCCAGGCACAGGCTCAAGGGAGGCTGCCCACACGCAACACTGGCATATAGGCAAGCAGGGCAAGTGGGCAGGAATCTTGGCCAATGCGGGCAATGCCGGCACGCTGCGCAAATGCGAGCTGCTGCGCTGCTGCGCTTCATAGCTGTAGTCGTAGAGATAAGCTGTAGAGTACGTAGGGCGCCTGGCGCCATTCAAGAGAGAGAGCTACATTGGGTTATGCTGTTGGTGTTGCCCGATTGGGCTTGGACATTGACTCACGATTCTTCTGTATCATTCTCAAATGGATGGTTACTCGGTTCCATTGTGCTATCTGCTCTGGCTTTGACTACTTGGACTTCAGTGTGATTTTGCAATCTGGATTTCTGTGCTTCGTTCACATTCATGTTCCTTGCAATTTGGTATCGGAGCTGGTCTGATTCGCCACTTACCTTGGTGCGCTGGCATTATACAGACTTGGTGCGTTGACGATGCTTCTTCGCAGTTGGTTCTTGTGACGTCAGGCCATGTTAGGCGCACAGCCTGGGTAGAGAGGTGTGCGCCGGAAGGCTAAGACGACATTAATTGCCGTGGTGACAGGCGGAATGTATGATTGGTGATGAGAGCATGCTGATGTGGCATTCGGCTGAGGTGGCACTGCATTGCGTTGTGGGTGGTACCGAGGCCAAGACCGGTCATCAAATGCACACTCAGCTCAATTGGTGAGAAATCTGTGGTTGGGGGCAGCTATCTCCAGGTACGTTGTTCCCTTACCTTATCTACTCTCTCAATCTCTTCTTACCGTGAGGAAGTGAGTCCAACTTGAGAGTCCTCTCTTTCGGTGAGGTGTCGTGAGTGCGCTACCTTGAGAGACGACAATCTTCCCGGAAGCATC